ACAGCTCCAGCCCAGACTCCTAAGAAAGGATAAACCTAGAATCCTCTCATAATCCCCAAATCCCCTCTGAACAGCTACAGAGATCCAGACTGGACAACAGGCCAAGGAGTGAAGGCTAGAGGTATTAACCTCCAATCAACCTCCAATTCTCTTACCTCATCATCAGGATCAGGATAAGGTCTCTTACAAATGCAGTACAATCCAAAAAAGTTGTCATTGTATTTATTGCCAGAATTTATCTTTGCTTTGTCCTGAAAGAGATTAATTTCAATATATAATATGGTCTAATTTTAACTATAATCTCAGGCATCATGAAAGTATAAATTATCATAAATTTCATACAAATATCATATATATGACATATTCATAATACATCATCAGTGTAATATAGTAAGATATAATAAATAACATGAATATAATGAAATATAAATATCATAAATTTCCTGTTGCATGAAGTCAATGCATTCAATTTCTACATTAAATATCTTCCTCCCCAAAAGTTGGTCTCTAACTTTCAAAGTTCAAAGAAAAAGAATTCACTCCTATTAAAAGGATACTTTTTTTAGGATACAGAGAATAAATAAAATTAATTTTTTTGTACCTTCTCTGTAGTAATTGGGGGAAACCAAATATGTCCATAACAAAATGCTGATAAAAGTTAATTATAAATATTAATGATCGACCTATGTAAATGAACATTGGCCTAGAATTTCGAAGTACTTCTTAATGCCCAGCTGTGATTGCCAAAGCTCCCAGGTTACAAGAAGGTAAAAAGCAGGCAAGGAAATTGTCTAAAAATAACCTTCAAAGGAGGGAAATAGCAATTATGGCTGAACAATGTAAAATCCCCTACTTTCTACTTAATTTCGGTTACTTCAGTAAACGTTACTGTGTAACTACAGTTATTAGCCAAAAAGCAGTGAAAAACTCCTGTGTTCATCTAGCTCACATTCACTACCAAGTTTTTTATTGTTTTTATTTTTATTTTTATTTTTTTTAAGATTTTATTTATTTATTTGACAGAGAAAGACACAGCGAGAGAGGGAACACAAGCAGGGGGAGTGGGAGAGGGAGAGGCAGGCTTCCCGCTGGTCAGGGAGCCCGATGTGGGGCTCGATCCCAGGACCCTGGGATCATGACCTGAGCCGAAGGCAGACACTTAACGACTGAGCCACCCAGGCACCCCTAACAAGTTTTTTATTGTTTTTAAAGTCATACCATTTGCTTTAAAAGCCTTAAACCATGAGCACAACCAACATAATCAAACCTGAATTACTTTAAAGAACATTCCCACCAAAATCTTTCAGATTAATTACAATCTGTAATGTAGGCTCTGAACAGGTTAGTTTTCCAACAAAATAAAAAAATAGAATACAGTCCAGGGGCGCCTGGGTGGCTCAGTCGTTAAGTGTCTGCCTTCAGCTCAGGTCACGATCCTAGGGTCTTAGGATCGAGCCCCACATCAGGCTCCCTGCTCAGCGGCAAGCCTGCTTCTCCCTCTCCCATTCCCCTGCTTGTGTTCCCTCTCTCGCTGAGTCTCTCTCTATCAAATAAATAAATAAAATCTTAAAAAAAAAAAAAAAAAAGAATGCAGTCTAATACTGATTTGCCTACTTGCAAAGAATAAGCATAAGAACTTCTTTTTTGGAACATGTATAGTATTTATCCACTCTGGCAAATATCAATCTCAGCTATTTTCAATGCATTTTTAGTTACAGTGCCTACTTACAGGAAATAATTTGCATTCCAAATTTTTAAACTTGCTGTTTCCACAATCACAACGAAAGTTTCTGGAAAAAATGAGGAAGAGCCGATTTTAATTTTTCTTTTAAATCTAATGAGTTACTCTTTAAATTAGTATCACAGCCCCTTCCCTTTCAATTGGTTTCTAGGATGTAAAAAGTGGCCTTGGTTGCTATTCATGTAACCAACCTGAAATTTCTCCAAGCACATAACAATAAAATATTTACTAATTCTGAAAATTAACATGCACAGAGACAAATATTTATATCACACATACACAAACACACAAGTAAATAATGGCAGAGAAGGATGACTAGTTTGAGTTTATACAATAATTTTATTTTAAAAGGCCCCTGGAAAAACTGTTCTCTCCAATTATATTATAGAAAACAATTACATTTTTACCAGTGCACAACTACTTTAAATAGAAAAACGGTGCAGGTGGGCAAGAATCCAAACATTTAAAAAGCATTCAGTGCCAATCCCTGACTGTCTTTACCTTTTTGTGTATAGCTCAAATAGTTTATGACTTCCATGACATTCATAACTGCAAGCTAGGCAAATTCCTGCTGGTTCTTCTCCCTCTGGGGTGCAAGTACTACAGGCGTATAGTGCTTGTCTCTTTACTGAGCCCTAAAAGACAGCCCCAAAAGGGAAAGAGAGAATAATTACACAGGAGAATACCAAAACACCACTGCATGCTTCAAATCACTATATATGTCCTATAGTAGTGCTCATTTTCATACAATTTTTTCTTAAAATGATAGTTTTAAATTCCCAGTCAGCTGAAAATAAGAATAAGCTGGGCTGCATCAACATTTTAACACATGAAAATATAGGAGAATGGGTATAGGTTTACGTTAGCAATATCACACTTACAATTTTGGAAAATACTTGTGACTCCACCAAAGAGAAAAATCAATGCATTAAAAGAATCCTTTTGGGGCACCTGGGTGGCTCAGTTGGTTAAGCGACTGCCTTCAGCTCAGGTCATGATCCTGGAGTCCCGGGATCGAGTCCCGCATCGGGCTCCCTGCTCGGCGGGGAGTCTGCTTCTCCCTCTGACCCTCCCCCCTCTCATGCTCTCTCTATCTCATTGTCTCTCTCAAATAAATAAATAAAATCTTTAAAAAAAAAAAGAATCCTTTTGATTTTAGGAGATGCATGCTGAAATATTTAGAGCTTCATGATGTCTGCAACTTATTTTCAAATGATTCAGGGGAGTAAAGTGTATTATATAGAGAAGAGAGATAAAACAAATGCGGCAAAAAATGAATACCTGCAAGAGGTACACAGGTGTTCACAATATTATTCTTTCAACTTATCTGTAGATTTAAAATTTTTCAAAATTAAAAGTTGAAGGAAAAACAGGCAAAACTTAGAAATCTTGACAGTGGTTACCCTCCTCTAGAAAGGAGGGAGACAGAGAAGCTTCTGGGATGCCATAATGTTCAATTTCTTTTTTTTTTTTTTAAAGATTTTATTTATTTATTTGAGAGAGAGAATGAGAGAGAGCACATGAGAGGGGGGAGGGTCAGAGGGAGAAGCAGACTCCCCGCCGAGCAGAGAGCCCGATGCGGGACTCGATCCCGGGACTCCAGGATCATGACCTGAGCTGAAGGCAGTCGCTTAACCAACTGAGCCACTCAGGCGCCCCATAATGTTCAATTTCTTGATGGGGGGGCAGGTAGTAGGTACATACATATGTTCACTTTTTTCGCCAAGCCATAGACATGACTTGTGTGATTTTCCACGCAGTTAACTACAGTAAAAAGAAAATTTTTAGGAAGTCCGTTTTATAAAGCTAACTACATTTCAAGAAAAGCTTACACACACTTTTTTTTTTTTAAAAAGGAAAGCAGAGAAAAAGTTGTTTTAGTGGTGACCAAAGGTTTTAAAATACCGGCCAACATCTGGGACTATCTGCAGATACCAGGTTAATTCAACAGTCTAACCACTGTGCAGGGTAAACTCAACCGGTCAACGATGACAACTGGTATTATGAGCTCAGTCCGCACCACATAATGGCCCCAAGTCTCTCGCCTCATCCCCCAGTGTTCCGCGCATCCCCCAGAGTCTAGGTGACCTTCTTCTTCCTACCAATTCTCATCCTGTATTCCTTCTACCCAACTTGCTCCATTTTTGTATCTAGAAATACAGGATGAGTCACCAAACACTACAACGCCCCCCTCAAATCCTGATTCATAACGTCTTCCAAATGCCAAATTTACCCTTCAAGCAAATCCTCTCTTCTCCTCCCTTCCTTTGCCAGTGCCACCTGCTGTCGTGGTTCCGGTCTATTCCCACGGGGGGCGGGGCGGGGGGGGGGGGACGACTGCAGATAGACACTACTTGCTTCGTCTCGCCAAAAAAACTACAAGCTAGCACTTGTCAGACTACATTGTAGAGGATTAGCTGTCAAGGAACCCAGCCCAGGGGGAGATTTTCAAACCCAGATCTCTCTCCTTTAACTCTGCTTTGGCTCTCCCATTAGGTTCCTAATAAACACTCTTAGGATGGGAAAAGTAAGGACAAAGATGTCGGTATCTGAGAGGTCACGGGGACAGTTTCTGAAAAGCAGCCGAGGCTCCGAGGAGAGACGGGAGAGGAAGGAAAGAGCAGGGGCCCCAGGGCCAAAGCCTGGAGAATCCTGAGAGACCGGACGAAGGAAGACCGAGGAAGGAGGGGGGCCCTGCTGGCTACAGGCTAAGAAGGAGGACCCAGGAGGCTGAGGTTTAAGGGCAGCTGGGCCTGGGACGGGGAAGCCTACCACGAACGGCGGCCCCGGACCACCACGGGGGAGCCGGGCCGCGCAGGCGGGAATAGGGCAAGTCAGGTCGGGAACCCGAGGTTCGGCGGGAGCCCGGGGCAGGCGAGGCCCGGGCCGCGCGCCCACCTGCGAGTAGGAGCACTTCTCGGAGTCGCTGCCGCCCAGTACGGCGCACGCCTCGTTCTCCAGCTCCTCGTCCTCCTCTAGAACGTCGACCAACGATACCACGGGCTCCAGCTCCGACTGCCGTCCAGCGGACCCCTCCGCCCCAGCCATCCTCAACTGTCAGCGGGACCGCGGCTCGGCCCGGCGGAGGCGGGAAAAGCGGCTGCGAGAGGCGTGGCCGGAGGAGGCGGGGCCCAGTGCTAAGAACCAATCCCAAAGAAGGGAAAAGAAGGAAGGAGGAGGAGCGACTTCCGACAAACGGAAGTCACTCCTCTCCCTCCTCCCGCCTGCGCCGGCCTGCACGCGCCTGCGCCCGCCGCGTGCTGACTTCCGCTTCCGGGTGGCCCTTCCCTGTCGCTCGCCGTTGAAGCTCAGCGGTCGTCATGGAGTTGTTTGCCGAGTACTTCGGGGTGGATGGGCAGCAGCAGCAGCTGCGGGCGCCCTGTGAGGCGCCGAGCGACGCGGACCCTTTCGAGGGCCTGTTGTCTGGTGTGGCCCAGATGAGAGAGTTGGTGACCGAGCTCTTCGACCCCCTGGTACAGCAGGAAGCGCAAGACTGGGACGTGGCGACTCCAGAAGAGGCCATGGACGGTGAGCCCTGAGAAAGTGCTGGAGCGACAGGAGGGCGGGGCAGGGGAGCCCGGGTAGGGGGGCCGACTTGGAGAAAGCCTCGGGGGGAAGAAGAATCCAGCTAAAAATTGTTGGCACTTACCGCCGTATTATCTGGGCTACTTCTACTTAAGCGTTTTCACGACTGTCTTTCCATTTATATCACAAAAAACGTGCTGAATGCCTAGTACTCTGTGCCAGGCACTGGGCTGTGCTCTTGAGAAAGAATGAGGTGAATGCCGCTCAGGTCCTGGCCTTGTGGAACTCTCAGGCTGTTGGGGGTTAGACAAGCCAACACTTATTACAGACTGGAAGTACGACCTCAGGGCCCTCTGTAATTATTGCAAACTCAGAGGACCCGGGAAGGCTTCAGAGAGGGGGCATGACTTTTGAGCTGGGGGGGGTTGAAGGATGAAAATGGAGTATTACCAGGGTTGACATTACAGACATGTTAGGAAGATTGCCATCTATCGCCGAATAGGTTCTGAAGATTTCAGTTTAAGGAGTCCTAACTCCCAGGGACTCCTTTCCCATATCCCATTTTAGAAGGTACAGTTTGAAAGGAGAAATATGAAACTCAAGTGAATACAAAAAGAGGTAGGTACATTTTCTGCCCTGAGCTGAAGAACCTAAGAATTAAATATTGGAGTCAGGACTTAACTCCTTTGAAGAGGGGCTTAAATGGTACTGTACCTTTTTTTTTTCCCCCATCTTGTTTACATCTTGATAGTTCCAGATAATGTAAACTCAGACCATTACTCTGAGTTCAGACAATAGATTGGTTCCATGAATATGTTAATTGGGTGTTGCCACATACGTTCAAAGTGAAGTCCTGTTTCTTGGCTCCAGAAATACTTCTCTAATCTGTTGAAAGTGTTATCATTGGAATAAGGATGAGTATAGCTAGAGCCATTTCTTAAAATATCATTACTTTTTGGAAAAATAACTGACACCTATTCTCTGAATGGCAGGTCAGTAATATCTTTGTATTGGAGGACATCTTTGTGTATATTAAATGACGACCCCATAAAGCTTAGGTTTGAATTTCCTTTGTTAAAAGTAATGAGATTGAAATGGTGCATTTTGTGTTATATGAGTTCTATCTCAACAAATGTACAAAATTTAAAAATTACAACAATTACTAAAGAAAAGTGATAGAACTCTAAAAAGTACTAAGTGCTGAAATTGGATTACAAGTAATCCAGTTATCAAATGTGCAAAGGATTTGAATAGACATTTCTCCAGTAAGCTCATGAAGAGATACTCAGTAAGCTCATGAAATGGTCAGTAAGCTCATGAAAAAATATTCAGCATCATTGGCCATCAGAAAAATGCTAATGGGGCGCCTGGGTGTCTCAGTCGTTAAGCGTCTGCCTTCGGCTCAGGTCATGATCCCAGGGTCCTGGGATCGAGTCCCACATCAGGCTCCCTGCTCAGCGGGAAGCCTGCTTCTCCCTCTCCCACTCCCCCTGCTTGTGTTCCTGCTCTCGCTATGTCTCTCTCTGTCAAATAAATAAATAAATAAATCTTTAAAAAGAAAAAAAGAAAAATGCTAGTGAAAACCACAATAAAATACCACTTCATGCTCGCTAGGATGACTATAATCAGAAAGAACAATAACAAGTGTTAGCTAGAATGTGAAGAAATTGAGCCCTCATACATTGCTGGTGGAAATATGAAATGATATACCTTCTTTGGAAAACGGTTCGGCAGCTCCTCAAAAAGTTAAACATAAAGTTATCGTATGACCCAGGAATTCCACTCCTAGGATCTCCTCATTCCATTCCTAGTTCTCCAAAGAGAACTGGAAACATATGTTCACATAAAAACTTATTCGTGAATTTTCATAGCAGCACTATTTTATAATCGCTAAAAAGTGGAAACAGCACAGAAGTCCATCACCTGATGAGTGGATAAATAAAATATGGTGTATCCATCAATGGAATATTATTCAACAATAAAAAGGAATGAAGTACCAATAAACACTACAACATGAATGAACCTTAAAAACATGTTGAGTGAAGGAAGGCAGACAAAAAGGCCACATATATTATGATTCCAGTTATATGAAATGTCGAGAATAGACGAATCTATGGAGATGGAAAGTGGATTAGAGGTGGCCAAGGGCTAAGGGGAATGGAAAGTGATTGTTAATGGGTGTGAGATTTCTTTCCGGGATGATGAAAATGTTCTAGAATTAAATAGTAGTGACAGTTGCTCAACCTAGGGAGTATACTACAAATCAATAAATTGTAGAGTGAATTTTATGGTCTATGAATTATATCTCAAAAAAAGTGATAAGATTTTAAACACCAAGGGGCGCTTGGGTGGCTCAGTCGTTAAGCGTCTGCCTTCGGCTCAGGTCATGATCCCAGGGTCCTGGGATCGAGCCCCACATCGGGCTCTCTGCTCAGCGGGGAGCCTGCTTCTCCCTCTCCCACTCCCCCTGCTTGTGTTCCCTCTCTCGCTGTGTTTCTCTCTGTCAAATAAATAAATAAAGTCTTAAAAAAAAAAAAAAAAGATTTTAAACACCAAAATTCTTGAAATCTTTTTAACCATACATACTTTGAGTCTGTTGTATGCATGATTTTATTAATCCTTAAAATTGAAATGATCTCATTATCAACCATTTTAGCAATCTTATTTCTTTGAACCACTGAACATATTGTCATACAACAAATATTTATTTTAAAAGGTGATGATGAAGATGATGCAGAAGATGAAAATAACACTGATGATAGAACTAACTCAGATGGATCATCTGCAAAACAGCCCAAATCGCCATCTTAACAGTCGCTTTTATGAAACTTTAAAGACTGCTACTATATCTGAATTATCACACAGTGACATTTAGGAAAGACTTGTGCTCTATTTGGAAAAGCATTTGTTTTGTTCTAGGACAATTTTGTCAAAGAAAAAAATGTTTCTTCTGTTTCCAGCAAAGAAAGATAAAATAAATGTTTAGAAATGAATCTGTTTTCTTGAGTGAGAAATAAATTTCAGACCATAGAAATAAAATAGAACACTTGATGTATAAAATCCTCTAAGTTGGCAACTGAATTTTTATTGTTTTCTTTTTTTAAAAATTTTTTATTGTTATGTTAACCACCATACATTACATCATTAGTTTTAGATGTAGTGTTCCATGATTCATTGTTTGTGCATAACACCCAGTGCTCCATGCAGAACGTGCCCTCTTTAATACGCATCACCAGGCTAACCCATCCCCCCACTGAGGCTAACCCTCAGTTTTTTCAGTTTTATTGTTTTCTACTTTTTAAATAACCATTGAATTGTGTGATGTCGGGGCGCCTGGGTGGCTCAGTGGTTAAGCGTCTGCCTTCGGCTTGGGTCATGATCCCAGGGTCCTGGGATTGAGCCCCGTGTTGGGCTCCCTGTTCTGTGGGAAGCCTGCTTCTCCCTCTCGCACTCCCTCTGCTTGTGTTCCCTCTCTTGCTGTGTCTCTCTCTGTCAAATAAGTAAAATCTTTAAAATAAAATAAATAAATAAATTGTGTGATGTCTACATCTTTTGGCTTCTGCTTGTTATAAAAAATACATGTCAGTTCTTGGACAATAACATTTCAAGGAACCATGTGACATGAGCAAGTGGTGAAAATTGGATATTAAATTTAAGAATGGCAGTTCTGTGTAAGAAGGAAAACGGGAAGAGAAGTACTGAAGGAGGGAGATGAGCCCTTGAGAGAGACCCAAGGAAACCTGGAATCTCCACTCACAACCAATATATAGACCCCCAGAGATGATACCACTCAACAAATATATATTTAACTTGTACCTTAAGAGAACAAGTTGGGTGTGCTTTTATGCTGTAACATGTTATGTATATAAACCCAAACTTAAGTCTTTAAGTAACTTAATCTGTGTTGACTATAACTTAAGGTATTTCTTCTCATCCTGTATCCATGCTTTGATTTTGCTTACTGAAGTACTATTGAATCCTTTAAAATACATATATATTCCTAAAATGTGTGTGTGTTCCTTTCTGCTTGTCAGTGGGACCAAGACATTTATTTACTATGCATGTTTCCTGATTGATTTACATAGCTAAAATGCAAAGAAATCAAGTCGCATGCATCTAAGGAAATACAAATAGTTACGGAATTTTAGAGTTAGAAGTAACCTTACAGATTATATGATTTATTTCTGAGATGAATCTTAAAATGGGTGTTTGCCCTGAATTTGAGCTAACAATTGGCAGAGCTGGGTTGTACACATACGCTTTAAAAAATTACAAAAAAAAAAAAAGATTATCATAATACTTCCCCAGTTACATCCTGAAATCTATAGCTTACAAAGTACGTGCTGTTAAGGAAACTGAGTTTAGATACCTTTTTGTATCTTTAAAGTATTGTTTTACTTGGAACATCAGCCTTCCACTTAAGTGCATTTTTGTAATCAAAGCAATACCAAATAGAAAAAAAAATAGCAACTAGAAAATGTTTTGGTTTTTTGGTGTTGTTGTTTTGGGTTTTTTTAAAGATTTTATTTATTTGAGAGACAGGGCAAGAGAGAGCACGAGGGGGGTAAGGGGCAGAGGGAGAAGCAGACTCCCTGCTCAGCAGGGAGCCCTGTGTGGGGCTTGATCCCGGGACTCCAGGATCATGACCTGAGCTGAAGGCAGACGCTTAATCGACTGAGCCACCCAGGCGCCCCTAGAAAATGTTTTATTAATAGTCAGAAATTTCCTTGTTTAGTTTGTGATAATGTCTCTAATGTTGGCACCTCGACTCAGTTATTGACTTATAGTAATCTTTTTCTTCAGTCTTTTAAAAAACAACTTACCAGCATAGTTAAAATAGTTCATGTATTTTTTAATATTTTTCTTTTTTAAAGTTTATTATTTGGGGGCGCCTGGGTGGCTCAGTCAGTTAAGTGTCTGCCTTTGGCTCAGGTCATAATCCCAGGGTCCTGGGATTGAGCCCGATGTCGGGGGTCCCTGCTCAGCGGGGAGCCTGCTTCTCCCTTTCCTCTGCCCCCTGCTTGTACTCTCTTTGTCAAATAAATAAATAAAATCTTAAGGGGCGCCTGGGTGGCTCAGTCGTTAAGTGTCTGCCCTCTGCTCAGGTCATAATCCCAGAGTCCTGGGATTGAGCCTTGCATCAGGCTCCCTGCTCCGCGGGAAGCCTGCTTCTCCCTCTCCCCTCCCCCTGCGTTCCCTCTCTCACTGTCTCTCTCTGTCAAATAAATAAATCTTTTTAAAAAATAAATAAAATCTTTTTTTAAAAAAGCTTATTATTTTTTTAGTAACCTCCACATAAACAGGGGGCTCAAACTCATGACCCTGAATTCAGTAGTCACATGATCTTCTAAGTCATCCAGGTGCCCCTAAAATAGTTCATATTTTTAAAGCAATAACTGAGCTTTGCTCCTGAATATTTTGTTTCCTTCTTTGTTTAGTAAATGTATTTATAAAGAAGAAATTTCAAGATATTTGCGCTTTGTGGTCCAGTGTTTTGAGGTCTGGGTTATATAGGTTTGATTGATCTTTTCCTTAATTTTAATACTGATTCTAACTCTAATACTGTCTCCTTCATAAATGTTCATTTGTAGACCCTAGTTAATTAAATAAAAAGAGAACCTAAATGTCCATTCTTAAGACCCTAGTCAATTAAATAAAAATAGAATATTAATACACTGATTTTACGCAGTCATTTAAAAAGACCAAAGTGTAGTTCTATATGTTAAAGACCAATCTCTAGGATATATTGTTAAATGAAAACTAGCAAGATACAGAACAGTGTGTAGAATGCTACTGTTGGAGAATATTGGCTAGATACACGTGGTATCTAAAAGGATAGAACGCTGCTGAGCAGGAGTTGGGTTGGGAATAAGATTTTTCACTGTACACTCTTGTTCTCCTTTGCATTTTTAAAAAACGTATATTTTTCTTTTTTTTTCTTTTTAAGATTTTATTTATTTATTTGAGAGTGAGAGAGAGAGAGAGCACAAGAAGGGGGAGAGGGAGAAGCAGACTCCCTGCTGAACAGGTAGCCCGATGCGGGACTCGATCCCGGGACTCCAGGATCATGACCTGAGCCGAAAGCAGTCGCTTAACCAACTGAGCCACCCAGGCGCCCAAAACGTATATTTTTCTACACAAATACAGACAAAGTTACTGTTCCTCAAAAGTTATTGAAACTCAATTTTTTTTTTTAAAGTAAGCTTTAGGGGCGCTTGGGTGGCTCAGTCGTTAAGCATCTGCCTTCAGCTCAGGTCATGATCCCAGGATCCTGGTATCGAGCCCTGCATCGGGCTCCCTGCTCTGCGGGAAGCCTGCTTCTCCCTCTCCCACTCCCCCTGCTTGTGTTCCCTCTCTCGCTGTGTCTCTCTGTGTCAAATAAAATCTTTAAAAATAAATAAAGTAAGCTTTATACCCAACATGGGGCTTAAACTCATGACCCGGAGATCAAGAGTCACATGCTCTGACTGATCCAGGCAGGCACCTCAATTTTTAATTTTAAAAAGTTATGCTTTAGGGGCACCTGGGTGGTTCAGTTGTTAAGCGTCTGTCTTAGGCTCAGGTCATGATCCTAGGTCCCACATCAGGCTCCCTGCTCAGCCGGGAGTCAGCTTCTCCCTCTCCCACTCCCCCCTGCTTGTGTTCCCTCTCTTGCTGTCTCTATCTCTGTCAAAAAATAAATAAAAATCTTAAAAAAAAAAAAAAAAAGGGGGGGGAGTGCCTAGGTGGCTCAGTCAGTTAAGTGTCTGACTCTTGATTCTGGCTCAGGTCATGATCTCAGAATCGTAAGATTGAGCCCCAAGTCGGGCTCTGGGCTGGGCATGGAGCCTGCTTAAGATTTTCTCTCTTCTTCTCCCCATCTTAAAAAACAAGAATCAGGGGCGCCTGGGTGGCCCAGTTGGTTAAGCGACTGCCTTCGGCTCAGGTCATGATCCTGGAGTCCCGGGATCAAGCCCCACACAGGGCTCCCTGCTGAGCAGGGAGTCTGCTTCTCCCTCTGACCCTCCCCCCTCTCCTGCTCTCTCTCCCATTCTCTCCCTCAAATGAATAAATAAAATCTTTAAAAAAAAAACAAGAATCAGGGTGCCTGGGTAGCTCAGTCGGTTGAACACCTGACTCTTGATTTCGGCTCAGGTCATGATCTCAGGGTTGTGGGATGAGCCCTGCGTAGGGCTTCATGCTCAGTGCAGAGTCTGCTTGAGATTCTCCCACTCCCTCTGCCCCTCCCCCCACTTGTGCACATGCTCGCTCACTCTCTCAAATAAATAAATAATCTTTTTTTAAAAATCCGCATTTCCCATCTGACTACTACTTTGTCAGAAAAGGGAGCAGAACATGACCTCTAAAGAGGTTAGGAAACTGTGCTAAGGTGAGGTAGGACGCTGTAAAAAAAAAAAAAAAAAAAAAGTGGAGGGGGAGGTGTTTCTAAAACTGATGTGCCTAGCTTTAACCTTGAAAAAGATGCCCTCTAGCCAGTGCATCATTCGCAAAGCATAATATGAATTTCACAGTGTTGCCGTAAGTATTCCAGTTCTCAGGTGACCTTTGGGATCAGAATTGCTCTATTTAAAGACATGGCCCAGGGAACAATGAATGCTAGAATGTAAGCTTCTATTTAAATCTTTTAAAAAGTAGCAGCTCACATTGGGGCAGCAACAAGGCCATTGGGGTACAGTTTTAAATAGAAATTTACTCCAATGCAAAAAGAAAAACAGAAATTTACACCAGTGCCAAAAATTCTGCTGAAGATAGAACTAACTTCTAAAAACACATTACGACTTTTCTTTTTTTAAGATTATTTATTTATTTATTTATTTGACAGAGAGAGAGACAGCAAGAGAGGGAACACAAGTAGGGGGAGTGGGAGAGGGAGAAGCAGGCTCCCTGCTGAACAGGGAGCCTGATGTGGGGCTCGATCCCAGGACCTTGGGATCATGACCTGAGCCGAAGGCAGATGCTTAACGACTGAGCCGCCCAGGCGCCCCCATAGTACCACTTTAAATGAGCGATTTACAGGACCAGTAAACTCCAGAGTACTGCAATTATGTGCTGTAGCTCTAAGAGATTGGCATGACACTTGATGCATATGTTAGGTGGTTTAGGAAACTGTTATCTTAATGACTGTAATTTGAGAATTGCTCAAGGCTCCAATCACCCCTTCACACCTTGTTTGTGAGTGTGGTTTATGTTTTTTTCTGCATGAATAAGGAACATCCCAAGACAACCAACATCATAACCGTTGGCAAAAATGAATGGACTCATTTTAAATCTTGGCCTCAGAAAGAATGTATCACTACATGCTGAAACCTGAGAAAGCTTAACCACTAAACTTATCTCAAACATGTTACAGATTAGACTTCGCACTTAGTAGAAAATGTTAACTTTAACCTTTATTTTCTCTGGAGAGCAAACTAGATTGTTTTGCAGTCTAATGAAGGAGGTAGTAAAAATCAGTGGCAGTAAAAATCACTCATGCAATAAAAAATTATGAGCACCTACTGTGTGCCCAGGCACCTACTGTTCTAGGCACAG